AGCATAATCTTTATTTAAACTCATGTAGGTTGTTAGCGCTTGTCCTAATTGTGATTGATTGCCTTTTAATTCATTTAAGAAAATTAATTTTGATTATCTTAGAAGATTAATAGCAAGAATCGAATTGTAATGTGCTGATTAATAAGCGACTACCAGATATGATCTCTTAAAATAATAATATCCTTGTGGATAAGTAGCAAGTATGAGTGAGCTTTCTTCAAATATCTGTCAAAATGTTAAAGTATAATATTTCAAGACATATGTTGCTTCAGATGCATGTTATATTTTAATAGAAATATTGCTTCTTAAATTATCGATCATGATATTTCAAAAATCTTTAAACGAATAAAGAGCAAATTGTATATAAACTTTCACGTCGATAATTTTTTTACTCCATAAAAATTAAAAAATTAAGATGCTATTTTATTTGGGCCTAGTACATTTAATGGAATGGATTGATAGTTCATATCACATTAATTTAAGAATGAATATAAAAAATAACTAAAAATATAGACTATGTATATTTTGCTGAGCAAATGGCAATAAAATTTTATCAAAATATTTATTGCACACATATTTAGAGGTGGTTTTCCCCAGAATATTAAAAAAATGATTCCAAACCTTCCTGCGTAAAATACAGGAAATTAGGAGATCGCCTCAGACTTTTTGAGTAATAATAACTTTTATACAAAGCTAGAAATAGAACTAGCTAGAATTAAGCTTCTAGCTTCTGTTTGGTCTGAGGTTAGGAGACGAATAATACTGGGATCTGTAATTGTAAAAAATTAAAGTAGTTTTATTCAAGAATGGATTTTAAAATATATAAACTAAACCATTTGAAATGGAGTAATCAATATATATGCTATGAAAATTTGGGTTTCTAAGACTATTGTGGATTATACTTGTTGAGATGATTTCCATTTCGAGTGAGATTATGTGATAGAGAGGTTGGAGGGTTGAGCCTACCAGAAGAAGATGTCCAATTCCTCTTGGCCAACTGTTTATTGGCTTTACTGGACTATTCTTTGTTATGCTGTTTTCGAGGCAAACTCCTTCGATCTAGGTGGAGACGAGCTAAGCTTTCGTCTGTCAAATGACGAAATGGAGATGAGCTCAACAAATCAATAAATAAATATAACCTGAATGGACGGGTACAAAAGAGCATCATCAGCTTAGTCGAATCATAAAAGTTTACACCATAAACCCTTAAAATAAAACAAATCTGTCGAAAGAAGTCACTATCTGCAGAAATTGTAAATATTTTTACAGTAATACCCTGTTTTGAATTAGGAGCTGAATCATATCCATGTTTAGTCGAGCTAGTTATGGGGATTATGTCTGCAAATGCTTGTTATTATACGTTAAATAATTAGCCAAAGCTATGAAATGAACATAATGCCAGAATTAGGGGTCTAAAATCCATCAGTTTTCCATTTATGTTATAACTACTAAAGATCTGCCAGGCAACCTAAATCGACAGACACAAAAGATTAATGAATATACTAATTGCACGTGATTGTTATATAGGCCTAATCACGGCAATGAATCCATAAAGAGATTGACAATTTAGCTTAGCTAATAGTTTTATTTATAATTAACGAATATGTAATCATGAGCTACGCGCAACTAATTATTTAACAATACGCTGTGTAATTATTTAATTCAATAATTAATGTATTTCATCATGTATCACGAGAAAGGGCTATGAGGTTCGATTACTCGGAACTGGAGCTGAAAATGATCTGCAAAGATGCGACCACATCTCTTCACACTAATTTTTCTTGTTATATGAACATGCAAACGAGCATCTTATATAAGGTTAATAAAATCAAGGTTAGTGTTTTTTAAATATGCTTCTTAAGGTTTATTCTTCTCAGCCAAGTAATACTTTGAGGTATACATAAATAATATTGGGACCTCAATATAGCCACAGCAGTATCAGCGCACCATCAACAAAAGTATTTAACCGATCGAGTTGCGTTCCGATTACCGTTAGATATTGAATTATACTTTGCGCCTTGAATAAGTACTAGAGTCATTTTAATTAGCTTTAATTAATCTAATGAGGGATATTTGTATTCTCCTTGATTAAATGAATAATATGACAAAGGCCGGCAAAGCATTACACTTAGCAATGCATCAAAAACTGCTTTTGCGTCTAAATATTTTCTGGATATGATCATCACCTCCAACGGGATCTGAAAATGTGTTGTGAGCATAAAGCGGCAAAACTAACATTTAGCTACACTATCAAGCATTGCATGTAAAGCACTCATAATTGAAATTCATATATTGGATAAACCAGAATCTTGTATAGAAATATGTTTCTAGTTTTTAAATTCATTGCTAGTATTCCCTTTATTAGAGTTTTGTAATTTTTTTATGCCCTACTCCCATATTTAAAAACTAAACTTTCTCTCATTAATTTTAACTGTTACCTTAATTTATTTCAAACGCTAGTGTCCAGCTCCACCTGTTCCACTTCGAAGACTTGCAATTCACACTCCATTCATGTCTAGGCCCGTTTTGCCTAGTACTTTCATGCCTCAGATCATGCCCGGATATCCAAACCAATACAGCGAAAATAATAATGATGAGTCTTACAAGAATGCGAGTTGGCTAGAAAGGGCAGGGAGTGTAAAACGTGTGAGAAGACTCAGAATAAGTTTTCCTCAAGCTGGGAGTATAGATAGCATCCTCGACAATAATGAAGAGAGATATGTGAACTTGAAGAAGAATACTTTAGAAAAAATAATTGAAGAAGATGAAAGTGAAGTGATGGTGGAGGATACAAGAGAAGAAGCTCTAAAGAAGGACAGTATGGAGCGACTTTCTAGAATAAAAATGGACAAGAGGCATGAAGAAGATCTACAGTTTGAACAAAATAAGTATTCTGGGTCTAATTGGAAAGAGGGCGGAGAGGCGATCGGGTTACTTTGGCCTATACATTTAGAGCAAAGAGAAGAATTCACGCTGCTTGTGATTGATCCTCGCCCATTTCAGCCTCAACCATTTGGAATAAACAATATTTGGAAGGACTTTGCCATTGCATACGCCGGTACACGTAAGTTATAATTAGACTCTATCTCGGCTTGCAGCTGAACTTTAGGTAGGCCTAGATGCTATTGCCAATTAGGTCTTATCGATTAAGTTGAAATGCCTGTAGGAAGTCAGTATTTGATCAGCTTTAAGAAAATTTCAATTAATAAAACTTCCTCTAAATTAATTTTCTGTCATAATCTATCTTATTTATATTTGCCTTCAATATTAATCAGTCTATTTGAGATTGCCATACAACAAGAAAATCGTTATAGCAAAGTGAATTCACTCCTAAAAATGACTATAATATTTTAGTCAAATTAGAGTTTGCTATCACATGTACATCATTTAAAAGCCTGAATAATCCGAGCTAATAGAAATGACGAAATCAATGCCCAAAGTAAAATCTTCTGATGATTACTTTTAGATATACATAAGTTTGTTTGCCTAAGGGCTAGATTTGTCCTTAGAATATAATTTTATTTTTTATACATAGGTTTTTCCTTTGGGAATTTATTTAACTATAATGAGATGGTAATATAATACATTATAATTGAGAAGAAATTAAATATCAAAATATTATAATGCCAAGAATATTATACTGAGATGTAAGGCTTCATCTATGACATTAGTCTTAATACAAATTAAGCGTATTAACTTTTACAAATACCTGATACTTTAAAATGCAGAAAAATAGGACATTTATTTATATAGAGAAGCCAGAATTTAATAAAATTTTAGAAAATATCATGATTAATAGTATAGATATAAGAGAACAATATTCCAAAATTTGTTCATTTAAATTATCTAACAAAATTAGTTCTTGTTACGAGAAGAAGCAAAGAAATAGTGAGAATTTCCCAGTTATGCTTTTTTTCACTATTTATACTTATCAGGTGACAGCTCAAATATCAGTATAGATTTTTTTTTTCGAAAAGATTACTTAAACAGTTATAATTTTCTTTAACTTTTTGAGTATCCAAAGTTTTAAAGTCTGTTGCTTCAAAAGTGGGTTGACTTCGTTGTCGCAACTTGGTCTTGTTGTCAGGGCGACTATGTAGAATGCACCTGGTCCGAATTCGTCTGCCATAGTAGTTGTCATGATTCTCAGCATTTGACAGTAGACTTGAT